TTGATTTCATTGCTCGAAGATGAAGATGCTCTGGCTTGAAGAGAATTATCTGTTGTTGATCAAAAGCAGCATCTCTTTCCTTTGGTGCAAGATAAGATCATCTAGAGAGTACATCTGACAAACCTTATTATTTTTTTGGTCAATAAGTGATCTTGAATTCGAATCTTGACTAAGATATACTCCAATGGGCTTGGCCACGATTCAAAATACGTGCTGACATAAAATATTCAAGGTTCTTGTGAACCATATATACTGTGATTGGGCTAGAAGCACCTTCTAGATAATGGCGCCATTCTTAAAACCAATCCATGATTACAAAAAGTTCTTTATCGTGGATCTTGAAGTTAATCTTAGCCATTAAAAATTTTTTGGAATGAAAAGCTATTAGATGAAGTTTATCATCTATTTCCATTTGTGACAATATGGCACCCAAAGTAAAATCTAATGCATTTGTTTCCATAAAAAATGGCTTAAAAAAATCGACGCGATACAAGATTGGTGCAGAAATAAAGACTATCTTCAAAGCTTCAAATGCTACTTCTAATTCTTGATTCCATTGAAGTTTATCTTTGCAAGTCAAACATGTAAGTGAAGCTGCAACTTAAGAGAAGTCTTTGATGAAGATCCGATAGTAGTTGGCAAATTCCAAAAAGCATTGGACATCTCTTATCGTTTTTGGGATCTTCCAATTCATAATGATTTGAACTTTCTTAGGATCCATTATAAGTCCATCATTTGAAATGATATATGCTAAGAAGTCAACTTGAGTAGTGTGAAATACACACTTTTCTATCTTGGCAAAGAGTCCTACATCTTTTAGTTTTTGTAATACTTGGCGAACATCAAGTTCATGTTCTTCTGGGTTCTTAGAATAGATTAAGATGTCGCCTAGATAACAGACAACAAAATCATCTAAAAACTCCCAAAAGACATCATTCATTAGATATTGGAATGCTGCTCGTACATTTGTAAGTCCAAAAGGCATGACATTGTATCCGAAATGTCCATACCTTGTTCGAAACGTAGTCTTCCATTCATCTCTTTCTTTTATGCGTACCAAATTGTATGCTTCCTTTAGATCTATTTTTGTATAGATCTTAGCTTGATTCAATTGATTAAGAAGTCCAGATATCAAAGGTAATAGGTACCTATTTTTGATAGTGATTTTGTTGAGTCCTCGATAATCAACATACATCCGCAATAATCCATCTTTTTTCTTCACAAATAAAATTGGAGCTCCTACTGGAGATTTGAAATGGCATATGAAGTTCTTGGCCAAATTCTCTTCAATATTCTCCTTGAGTTCAGCCAATTCATTTTGAGATAAATTATAGATTGATCCAAATGGCAGTTGTGCTCATTCTTGAAGGTCAATTGAGCAATCATAAGAACGATGTTTTGGAAGAGTATTCATTTTTTTTCTCAAATACATCTTGAAAATCTTGATATTGGCTTCAAATGCCACTTGGAGTCTTTCCACCAGTAGAAACAAGTGTGGCATAAATGACACAAGGTGATCTTTTTTTTGCAGCATGTAAGAAAGCACTTACACTTATAAATATAGGTTTAATTATACTAGACTTATGACTTTCTATTTGATTAACTACACTCTTAGTTATACTTTCAAAAAAGTCAAGACTACGAGAAGTCCAATTTATTTTAGGCTTATATTTTTCTAGCCATGATAAACCTAAAATAATTGGATTAGAAGGAGTTCTAATGATAATAAATATTATAAAGCTACTATGACCATTAGTTGCTATTTTTATAGGAAGGATTTCATGAGTAACATCTTTTGAAGACAATAGACGACCATCTATGACTTCTACATAAACAAGTTTAGTTTTCTTTACTAAAAATATGCTATGTCTTTTAGTAAATTTTTCATCTAAAAAACATGCTGAGGCTGTTGAATCTAGCAAGGCAGAGGCTTTGAGATAGTTAGGTCCTAGAATAACATTTATTGTAAAACATGGAGACTGTTCTGAGGAGAGGATAGGACCTTCACTAGGCATTGTACAAGGTTCCAGTCGCATGGTTCTTATTGTAGCTGGACAAATTCGTTTTCTGACATGTTATCTTCTTTGATCGCCATACTCCTCATTTTATGGTTGCATCGCTTCTTTGGGCAATGTTGAGCAGTATACTTAAGTTTTCCACAATATAAGCATAATCTTTTTTGATGATGACATGTCTTTTCTTGCTCAATAAGAGGTTTGAAACGTATTGCATCAATTTGTGTATCCTCTACTCTCAAATGTATATATTAAAGAGATGTTGGTGTTGCTATTGAATTATAGTTACGTTGAGGTCCACTTGTATGGTTTTCAGATCAAAATTCAAAAAGTCGATTGTCACACTTCACAACAAAGTCAATTGCTTAACTCAATGTTTCAAGCTCATGTAAGTTGAGCATTAATTTTTTCACCTCATATTGTAATCCGTAGAGAAATTGGCTAATAAGTGCAGCCTCATCCCACTTGATATCAATTGTAAGTTATCAAAATTGTGAAGCATACATCATTACTGATCGATTATCTTGTCGTAAAATACAAATCTTATTGGTTGCAACACGAATTGCATCATGTTCTCCATACATGGATTGAAACTCTGTCAAAAAAGCCTCTAGATTATCTAATATTGGATCTTGTCATTCAAAAAAAGATGAAAATTATGATAATGCTGAACTTGAAAGAAGCATAACAATGAATCTAACTTGCGATCCTTGAGTTGGATAGCTTTGGAGTTGAAGTTCAATCACAAGTTGCACTTGATTAATAAATCCTCGAAACTTAGATCTGGTGCCATCAAACTTCTCGAGTAGGGCAATTCTTGGTTCTCTAATATTTGAAGGACGTTCCACCATAGGAGAAAGGATATGGTTTGGTACAGATGTTGAAGCAGCTCCAACCATTTCTATATCTTTACTTCCTGTCAATCTTGTTGCTCCTTGTGGTGGTAAATTGAGTTGATGCATCGTAAGCATTAACTCCTTCAATTGCTCTTGCATTTGTACCATTGCACTCTTTATTTCAGCAAGTTCTGTCATGATACTACTTAGAAAAGAGAAGATGTCTAATATCGCTCAAGACAAATAGAAGAGAGGACTTGAGAACAAAGAAAATACTAAAGAAAATATCAATTTAAAAGAGGGTAATTTGCAACTTCTAATATGCTTATGTCTCATCAAGAAAAAGGAATAATCCACTTTTAATCAAGATTAGACAAAGCTCTGATATTGTAAGTGTATTCTTGTCAATCTATCAAGGACAAGAACATAATAAAGACAAATAAACAAATGAGACTTCTTTCAAAGAAAGATGATAAAATAGAAATAACTTCATATGTATATTAAAAAAGAAACTAGAATGGCTATTGCCAAAAGACAAGAAAACTAGACCCTTGAAACTAGACTGGAAGCAAGAAAGGGGTTCACAAGAGTGAAGAGGGCTTCACTCTTGTCTCTATATATACTATCTAACTAGGGGCTATGTGGCAATGTTCAATAGGACCTCCAATATGTGTGGACTTTGTAAGATACATGCTTTGACTTACAAGGGAAGTTTTTCTACGTGTGGGCCATATAATTAGCTTGGTCTTCAAGCTAAAAACATGTGTGGCACATGGCCAACTTGTTGACTACGTTTCTAATCCAAAAAGTCAATTAAAGATACCTATAAAGTCAAAGCAGCGTCTATAAAGCTTCTAAAAAGCTTCCATACTAAATACTATAGAATTAATTACTTTTACCTACTTTTATTTACTTCTACTTATTTATATTTGTAATTATTGGCTTACATGTGTATGTCCGTGACAAAACCATTTATAGATGATATTGTAAATTAAGATTATCATTTGATATAAAATTTATATATTAATTACTCATTTCTATTACAAATATTATAAAAATATATATAAAAGAACTTGATGTTTATATTAATAATATATATACCAAATTTGTTGTATCCATTAAAAACAAAGTATCCATTTCTTTATTTTTGTTATTATTTGTAATCTATTCATGCTAATATCTTCATTTGTTATTAAGCTAATTTCATCTTTTTAATTTATTATGAATGTTTAAAATATAGAATCTATTTTTTTTTTAACTTATTCTATTTAATAACCATAAAAAATCTAAATTAGATTTTTTAAAGCTTTAATGAATATATGTTATATATATCCAATATTATGTAAAGATTCTATAATATTATAATATAAATATTGTGATTGCCATATTAATATAATTTATATTAAAAACTATTTTTAGTCATATTTTAATATATTAATATTACTATTATTATTCTACAATGAATTGGTTTAACTCAATCAATTTTTTATGGGGCTTGATTGATTTATTTTATTCTTTTGCTGATTGTTATGTTATATATATTTTATGAGTGTAGTTTTCATCATTATTATTATTAATAGGAGAATGTTAGACACACTCATGCTTTTACTTAATAGATTCATCCTTCATGAAGAATATGGTAATCATGATGAATGTGGTTGGTTTTAATTGGTTGTAGATCTAATAATGGAAAAATGAATCCTCAAATCATTTATTTTTTTATTTTTTATGATGGCTAGAATGGGTGGATTGATTTAGTGAAAACTTGGGTTTATTTAACATTCCCCTCTTGATATTTAAATTATTTTTCTTTCTTTCTTTTGAGTTTTTTCCTCTGTAAATATTCTTGAATGTTGCAGCATCACTGACTTGTAATAAGTATGACTAAGAATGAAGAGAGTAATCTATCCATCGAATGAACTGCATATTCTATATCATTCATCCAGACGATGAATACTTTCCACGAGACTCATCTTCGGGCACCTCGTTCCATGAGCCGGGATGCTCTCTACTGCGCCAGGGAGACCAGTTTCTCTTCACCGCGTTGTTCTAGGTTTCATTCAACAATCAGGTTGCGATTTTGCCGAGCACCTCCCTCTTCGATCATCGTCCCGTGAAGTCCGTATGCCTGGTGAGAGACTGATTTGTTAACCGAAAACCCCATAACTATCCTCGTCGTGCGTCGCTTTGCTTCAAATTCTCGCCGGCTACTTGTCATTGTGGTGCTGGCGGGTGGCTGTTTGGTGCTGTGTGGTCTCTTATAGATTTGTTCGAGTCGATCTGAGCATTTCTCGGTTTCTGTCACATTAATTTTACCCTTTTCGCAGTTGAGTTTCATCACAATTTTCATTTCAGCTGGTTTCGGATTTGGGGTACAGTTGGTTAAAACTCTGAGATTTATAGTGACGGGTGAATATGGTTGTGGGTTTATTCTACTATGGTGCATTTTTCTTGGTCTTTCTTTTTCGATTTCGGGCTGTGTTGGGGTTGCTGAAGTTGTCCTCATGTCGTTTGGGATGTAGATGTTCTGATCATTCTTACGGACAATTTTGAAAATTTGAATTATATCTATATATGTATATATATATATGCATACATCGCTTGTGAGGAGAATTTTGAAGTTTTGATTTTAAAGGTTAAAGACGCTGCTCTCTGAAAAAATCAAAGCTTGATATGACCTTCGGTAGTGTGTTTTAGAGCAGATTTTCACCTGGCCAAGGTACTGATGATTGAGATTGTTGTTATGGAGTCATGTTTAGTGCTTTCTTATCGTTGTGTTCTTTCAGAACTGAGAGGCAATATGATCTAAGGTCGGAAATTGGGAAAATTACTCGTCAAATTTTCGCCTCACTCTTCTGGTTATCTCATGTGTATGAGTATCCATCGTGCTAGAAGTTTGCCCGGAATTTGTTGAGTTGCAGCCAAAATATGTTGAGGTTTAGACTTGAGGGGTTCATTGAGATGCTTAAAGTACCACTATGAAATCACAAAACATTTGATTTTTTGAGTGAATGTATCAAATGGTAACTCTATAATCCTTTGATCATGTGTAAGTATTTTATCACTCGCAGTGAATCGTTCACTTCATTGAAACCACCGTTCGCTATCGTAAGATGTTCATGTCAAGTGTGTAGATCTGTCCGCTAATTACTGTTTTGTCTGTGTTTTCTCTATGGCAGAACTCACATGGGATTGCTATTTCCTTACCTGACAGTAGCGACAGCATAAGTGGTTTCTGAGATGAACTTTTCTGGAAATGGTCTTAGCGTTGGATGTTCCATCTAAAAGTGGGGACTTTATATGGTTTTCATCAACTGCAGGCTAGTATTTGAATGACGCTGCATTAAATGAAATTGGACTTTTTTCTTTTATAGAAGGTGGACTTACAGTGTAAACAAACCTAAAGACTGGTGGAGTCAGTCGTGAAAATCCTTTTTATAAGTATACGGTGAGTTTACTCAAAGTCTCGCAAGATGGGAGTTATCGTGTCGAGATTGTGGTTTTACATGTTTCCAGCGAAAGAATATAAAATAGTTGTTGTGGGATTAGACAACGCTGGAAAAACGACGACACTTTATAAGCTGCATTTGGGCGAGGTTGTTGTCACACAACCAACAGTTGGCAGCAACGTGGAAGAGCTTGTATACAAGAACATACGTTTTGAGGTCTGGGATCTAGGGGGCCAGGAACGATTGCGAACATCCTGGGCGACATATTATCGGGGCACTCATGCGGTGGTGATGGTCGTTGACAGCACAGACCGGTCAAGAATCTCTATCATCAAAGAAGAGCTCTTCAAGTTGATGCAACATGAAGACCTTCAGGGTGCTGTAGTCCTGGTTTTTGCAAATAAACAGGATCTGAAAGACGCCATGTCTCCAGCAGAAATTAGTGATACACTGTCCCTGCACAGTATTAAGAATCATGATTGGCACATTCAAGCATGTTGTGCCCTAACAGGGGAAGGGCTCTGGGACGGCTTGGGGTGGGTTGCCCAGCACGTTACTGGATCTAAGGTCTTACCTTAGAGGTGTTGTAGAACTCCTGTTTAGCTCATTGTATTGTATCTTACTGCCCCATGACTTCATTCTCAGCTACTGGGCACTAACAGATCTGTATTGAATCACTTCGTGATGGTGAATCTTCAGCTCGTCTCACAATGACACTGAAACCCTTGGCAACGCTTCTGCAAAGATACTAAACCAGGTACTATACAGCCAGGTTGAAGTTGCCAAGTATTGGGCGCTTTGCAGAATCTGTTTGCTTTAATATCCCATCATCATTTAGGTTAGAATTGAAATTCGTTTTGCTGAACCAGAAAGCAGCTTACTTTGGCACACACTATGTGGCGATCTTTCTATTGGTGCAGTGTGGATTGAATAAGTGTTTCGTCTTCTGAGATTTTTGTTATGAAGCATTTTAAAAAAAATGTTCAAGCAGCTGTAGTTCACTGAACTCTACTTCCATTGAAACGTTTCCTTCATTTTGTGGCAACTTGAGTTTCAGTGACTGTACTTTCCCAACCCATGACGCTCCTGAGCAGGTGCATTGAAGAATTAGAGTGAATGTAATAAAACCTGAATTTTCTCAATTTTTCAGTGTCCTTCAACTAAAGTATGAGATATATTGTGTGCATGTTCATGACTTTTTTTACTAGCTCCCAAATTATATGTCCGAATGTCTAATCCCACTAGAAGTTTAAAAATCTAGTTGTATAAAATATCAATACTTTTAATCTTTATAAAGCTAAGTGTTAGACAATTAGAGAAATTTGGATTAATAAATTTATTACTCTTAAGATTGAAAGAAAAAACCTAGGAGATCTAATGTGTGCAGAAGAGTTTTATAATTAAAATTTTATTATCTTTAGGATTCTAAAATACTAATTAGAACTCTTGAAACAAGGATGAATTCAAAATATGTAAGAATGAAGATAATAATAGACCATCTTTTACCTTCTTAGTACTAGTGGCAAATACAAGAGCATAGCATGGAGACACTTCCACCTCTACAAATAAAAAATCTAAATGCATTTACACCATGAGAAAAGAAATATGCATGTTAAAAAGAAATATACAACTATAAATCGTAAATGACCTACAAACTATTATATAGAAATTCTACAATCTACACATATATTGTTAAATGTAGATTAATGAAGGAGCAAGGCCTTCAAATTAGCACAATAATTTGTCTTATTATTTTAACCAAATTCAAAGACTTGATTTGGATACTAAAATGTGAGCCACTAAATTGACTCACTTTGATATTTAGTATAAAAAATGCACTTATTATGCTTAAATCACAAATTTTATGAGTTAATAGTAGAATTTTAGGAAAAAATAGAATGCTAGTAGTAGACATACAATCTAAGATAGAGTTTAGTAAGAAAAATTCTATAAAGACTATATTTTTTTAGTTAGCTAATATTAGAAAAAATATGAAGGAAGTAGTCTTGGTGTCAAAAAAGATTTTTTATTTATTTATTAATAGTTTCTAAATATATATAGAGAGAGAGATAAATAAATAAATAGAAATTAGAAGCAAGGTCAAAGAAGGAATATATATATTTATATATATATATATATATAATATGTAGTAGATGGAAGAGGTAGAAAGTAGAAAAGAATAGCAGAAGAAAAGGGAAAAGAGACGAAGGCATCTTCCAAAGTGGTGCAACAATTATTTTCTTTTCTTTTGGTTTTCCCATTTTTGCTGTAGGCAGCGACCTCTCTCGCGGATTTTGCTTGATGTGAAAGCTCTGTAATCAGCGTGGTTGTTGCAGCTAAGTTGAATTATTGTTGTCATTGCTTTTGCATTGAGAGAGCCCCGATGGTTGTCGTTGATCCGTTGGTTGCTAGTTCAACATTTCTTCTTTGTCATGGGAGGAGGGAGAGAAGCAACCGGTGGTTGCGTTGTGGATCTCTTTTCTTTTTATGTAACGACTAGACAAAAAACCTTGTGTCATAGTTCTGGCGGTTTTGTTGAGCAGCGTTTTAGGTTGGTAGTGAAAAGAAAAATGCTTTTGTTTTTCCTTGTCTTCTCTTGTCCGTGATCTCGAGGTGGCTGGAGCGGCATTTGGAGTATGAGATTGCAGAAGTACGAGGGTTGCCTAAGTCCTTATTTAATCCATGCTGAACTCTGTTGTGGACTCGAGAAGATGCTAGGTTTAGCACTAAAGCGGTCCAAGGGAAAATCCATTTTTTTCCTTTTTCGTTTTGGAGTTCTGGTGATAGCGGTTGTTGCGGCTGCCAGACTATGTAGTGTGGCCACAATCTTTTCTAACTTGTGGTTGTCAATTTGGTGGCAATTAACATCTACAAGTTAAGGCGACTTAGCTGGTTCCCATTTGTTTTGAGGTCTTGAGAGATCTAGGAAGCGACCACATTTTAACCGTAAAATTAGGCTGCACCTCTCCATTAAGCTTGCTAGACATCACATCGCATTGGGTTAACTTCGTCAACTTGCACATTCTGTCTTTACCGGCATTATGTTGTTTTTTAAACAACTGTAGCTGACATCAAGAGTGGAAGTATGACTGCAAGAAGAAAAAAAAAAAAAAAAAAAAAAAAAACAACACAACAACAACCTTCTTTTGGGACTAGCAAAAATTGAGATGTTTTGTTGATTGTCACCCATTCAATATAATCCATGTGCAATGTGGTGCTGAGGCAGAGCGTAGAGATGGGTGGCTGCGATTCGTTTTCTATTTCGATTGAGGCGCTGTGCATAGCATCCTTCTTCTTCTGTGATTAGCATGGAGCACGCGATCGACGAATTATATTATAAAGGATTGGCGCTGCTATAAGAAGGCTAGTATTGCGATGGATTTACGGTTGTAAACGTTAACCCGTTCACATTCATTGTGGTTGTATGGAGCTTCGAGATCTTGCGTGATTCAAGAAAAAATCACAGCAAGTGGAGGTCACGGAGAGTTTCATTGAGTAGCACAATGGTTATGCTAAATTGAAGAGCTACTACAATCCATTGTTATTGATGGAAACTCTGATCTGCTTTAAATGTTTTAGTATTGTTTAAGTGTGTAGTTCTAAAATTTTGTTTGATTTGGTGCTCTCCTACAACTATCCGATGACGAGGGTTATCTAGTCATAACAAAATAAATTAGCATTTTTTTACTCAGCTCTTGAAATTTTTAGGTCGGCAATTATGTAGAGAGAGTTGGAAAGAGCATCGCATATCTTGTTGGTTTTTATTTTTATTTTTACGAGCTTACGTAATACATAATAGAAGCAGATCAAAGCGATTGGAGTGGCGTTCCTTATTGATAGTGACTTCAAGCTGCGACAGTACGGTGGTGGACGCATGGTGGCATTTGCTATTTTTTCACCCAATAGTGGTGGGACGAAGCCTTAGAAGGCAATGTGGAGGCTAATGTTACAAAGTCTGAATTGAAAGAAACAAGAGTGAACCAGTGGCGTTGCGGCTTGGCGATCTTTTGAGTCAGAATCTTTACTACGGAGGTGGAAGAAGGCAGTGCTGCAGAGGCGGAGAAGCTTGTCTCAAAACCAATCAAGGCCACATCCTCGATCATCTTCATAAGAATTCAAGCAAGATCAGTTAAGTTGATGAAATAGTGCTGGATGAACCCTAATAAAGATAGATGAACTAGGGTTAGGGTTGAACTTGGGTTTGGTATGAAGCATTGGATGTTGGATGATAACTCTATTCAAGGATGAAATTTTGAATTAGATGAGAAGTTATTCATGGATGAGAAGTCATTCATGAATGATAAATTATACTTAGATGAATTTTTATATTGATAGATGGAAATTAATAAAATAAATAAATAAATAAATAAATAAATACATTAGATTAAGATAAATAATTAAGGATTAAAAAATAGAACTTCTTAGGCATGCATGTAGTGAGTAGATTGCTATTATAAGAGAGAGTTGATAGTAGAGGTTTGCTTAATAACATGGGTTTGTCTAATAAAATATTTTATCAAAAAAATAAGTCTTATTTTTTTGATAAAATATTTTATTCCTTATAATTTTTTGCATTACATATTTTTGAATTTAATTTTTTTATATAAAAATTATTTTTATGTAAGCTAAAATAAACCTCTACTAATTTGAAATTTATTCTAGTTTACAACGAGTGAATTAATTATGAAAATTACAAAAATTATGATTCTTATTTATTCCACAATTAAATAATCCTTATATCTTCTTTAAATCCATTATATTATAAAAATATTTCTATGAGTTAAAAAAATATTTTGATTTATGTCAATTTTTTAAAAAATAACCTATTAAAATATCAAATACAAAGATTTTATATTTATTATTTAAAAGAATTATAATTTAAAAATAATATCATATTATTTTATCTTTGATATTAATTTAAAAATTATAAAATATCTAACTATATTTTAAGAAATATTTTTTTCATTAAATAATCTTTAGAAAGTTGAATTGAAACAAGACTAAATTCTTTTTAAGGTCTTAAATCCTTCCAATCTACAACAACATAAATTCCATCACAACATAAGATATAGCAAATTAGAACAAAATTGAATAAAACTAAAAAAAATAAAATAATAAAAGAAAAAATGGAAAAAAAGAGAATAGAACAAAAGATAATAGAAAAAAAATACAAATCAAACTTATGTGAGAGAAAGAAATAGATGCCATACCTAATCAAATATCCAAATGGCCTCGGCTAGTCTTATTTATACTTTGTTCAATCATTTTAGAATTTTCTAGAATGATCCTAATAATAGGCTGTCAAGGTGTCAAGGACAAGAACTCGATGAAAGCTAAAGAGTAAGTGAGACTTTTCTCAAAAAGAAATAGGACAAAATAGAAATATGTATATTAAGAAAGAAACTGGAATGGCTATTGCCAAAATACAAGAAAACTAGAGACCCTTGAAACTAGACTAGAAGCAAGAAAGGAGTTGACAAGAGTGAAGAGGGCTTCACTCTTGCCTCTATATATACTATCTAACTAGAAGCCACGTGGCGATGTTCTATAAGACCTCCAATATATGTTGACTTTCTAGGCCACATGCCTTTGCTTGCAAGGCAAGTTTTCTATGGATGGACCACGTAGTTAGCTTGTTCTTTAAGCTTCCAACATGCGTGGCACATGGCTAACTTGTTGACCAAGTTTCTAACCTAAAAGTCAACTATAGACTCCTATAAAGTCAAAGCAGCGTCTATGAAGCTTCTAAGAAGCTTCTCTAGAAGATATTACACAATTAACCTACTTTTACATACTTTTATCTATTCATATAGGTAATTATATGTATGTCCGTGACATTACCCCCCCTTCTAGGGACGAGTTCCACGAGGAGCGGTGATTATATATTGAGAAAATCTAATATGCGGCGAATTGTATTTGCTACATACTCTGATCTTTGTTCTCTTCGAAGATAGTTGATGGGTCCTCTTAGCCATCGATAGTATCCCATTCCAGGGCGAGAAGACCACCCTGTTATTTGATCACTGTTGAGGCCTTCATAACTTCCTTCAAATAATACATTTGAAACACCATCAGGAGTCGTTCCTATCTCCAATAATATCACCAAACATCGAGAATCTCTTCCAAGGTCGTGATACCAAAC